TGCAGTTCCTATCATAAAGAAAACTCATTTTGATTTCAATGGTCGTGGCATAATTCTGATATCATATTGTGCTTTCATTACGCAGTCAAGACTTTTTAAATGAAAGCAATTTAACTTGAAGTTCTACTATTAACGTCTTGTCTAAAATTTAATTTAATTTCTCATATGTCGTTGAACTAACGATTATTGTTTAACACATTTTAGATCATTCGTTACTTACCCAGGGTGAGATTTGAGACCAAGTCTTTCAGTGGATGCTAACGATTTACGCTAAGCCCGTATTCAGTTAACCATTTTGAATGCAAAAATCAGAAATCAAATTGATTTAATTGAAAGCAAGGTTAGTTTTCCGTTTGCTGTGTCAAGTCAACCTAAATGAGATCGACTGGAGAGTATTTAAAATAAATTATATTAACAGCAAATTTTGATTTCAATTTGATCTCCAGCTTTGCTCGGGTAGGGGTCCCGCCCGTGTGCGATCATACCCCCTCAATTATATCAATGAAAGTAAAGATAAAGACTGAAATAACGCAGTTTCCCATCGCTCGAGTTGTTCGGATGGGTTATTCAAAAACATTTGCTCAATCTTATAAGAGCAGTTTGAAAGTGACCTTCCGTACTCTTTTGGTGAAATATACAATGTCAGACGTATTCACTTAACTATCATTAGATTGTAATGATTATATTTCAGTTTAATATATTATATGTTTCTTTGGTAACAAAACACGCCGAAAACGACGCAGAAATCGTCGCCATAGGAATTTTTATGGCGATGATTTTTGCGGCGTTTTCGGCGTGTTTTGTTACCAAAGAAGCAGATAATATTCTACAATTTTTCATGGTGCTGTTTTCGATGCTGTTCGAATATTGCTGTTGAACTGGGTCTCGGGTGAATTTCTTGATAAAATCAGAAATTTGGTTCACCCTTCGTTTAGTCACATCGTTGAAAACCATCAAGGAAGCAACTCGTTGTATCGCATTGCAATAATCTGTATCATTACTCGACTCGTTGACTGATTTTCGCTGAAGTCGGTCGAAATTTCGAAAAGGAATTAGCACAGTCACTGTTACCAACTAAAACGTAGCCCACTTAAACATAGCCTAACGAGCGAAATTCTACTGTACCTGTGTCTGAAACGAAACTCGTGGAGACAGTTTTCGTTTACTCCTGTTGTGGTTTTTGGCGTAGGACTACTTCTGTGTTTTCTATATGGAGGTGGCCCTAATGGCAGTTTATTTTTTAATTAATAAATAGCTTCATATTGAATTTAAAAATTTCCAACTGCTAATAATTTTAAAAAAACATCACCTCACAAACAACTGGATATTAAATATTTACACTACAACAATTTTCGATTCAAAAGCACCACCCTCACTCTAAGATTATGAGATTGAGCAATTGTTTTTGAATAATTCATTTGAACATACCAAATCGATAAGATAAGAAACTTCGAAATTATTTCAGTTTGGAATCGGAGGCGAACCAGCCTAAGGCTGAAAACCTCCACAATAAAGAAAACTTAACTTAATATCAGTTTGGAATCTGACTTCTATTGGTAAACCGTAGGACTACTTCTGTGTTTTCTATATGGAGGTGGCCCTAATGGCAGTTTAATTTTTAATTAATAAATAGCTTCATATTGAATATAAAAATTTCCAACTGCTAATAATTTTAAAAAAACATCACCTCACAAACAACTGGATATTAAATATTTACACTACAACAATTTTCGATTCAAAAGCACCACCCTCACTCTAAGATTATGAGATTGAGCAATTGTTTTTGAATAATTCATTTGAACATACCAAATCGATAAGATAAGAAACTTCGAAATTATTTCAGTTTGGAATCGGAGGCGAACCAGCCTAAGGCTGAAAACCTCCACAATAAAGAAAACTTAACTTAATATCAGTTTGGAATCTGACTTCTATTGGTAAACCGGTGTTGACAGGAAAAGTGGCATTTGGCATTTAATTCACATTAATCTTTGAACAGCTATAAGTTTTTTACATCTTTCGGCAAAGTTGTTAGGTACTCCTTGTATTATACTTTAACATGATTAGTTGGCAGAAAAAGTGATTTTTGGCATTTAATTCAAACCATACATATTTGAACAGTTGTAACTTTTTTTAGATACATTCTAGCACCGTAATTCCTTGGGATAGTTGTTAGGCACTTCCTAGACTATATTTGTTCATGGTTAGTTGCATGGTTCATGCAAAATTGTGGTTTCTAGGCCTAAAAATAAAAAAAAATACTACTAATTTCCATACAAATTTCAAAAGCAATTAACCACTTCATTCGAGCAGTTAAAATGACGTTTACTACCACTTGAACTTTGAAATAAAACATTATTTTGAAATTTTTTCTTCTAGAACCACGAGAAAAGAAGCGAACATTTGTGCGTTTCATAAAAAAATAGCAATTAGTTGGTCCAGTTTTGTGAAATCGTTGGTAGAATGTCACGTCAAAACTGCTTGACAAAGTGGTCAATTCGGAAAGCCGGGCAACCAATTAACCCCCCTCCCCCCTCCACAATGGAACCAAAAAAGGGTTGTTCTCGCTAGGTGAGATAAATTTTGCGTTTTTTTCATATAACGGTGACCCACTAATATATATATATTTAGCTGTACATACCGTTATCAAGTCACTTCTGTGGGATTTGATCTCTGGGTTGAGATAGCACATCAACTCCTTCGTTAGACATAAATGACCTTCCAACAGATCGTCATGGACTTGAGTGCCACCGGTGGTCTTCACACTATCCCTGACCGAGTGCAGCCAGTCTATTTCCTGCACAAGCAATTCTTCACATATCGGCAACGGCCAACTATATGAACATCCGTAGCTCAGAATACGACAAAACAGCTGAAAGTAGTCGGCACAAGTCTCCTGATGTTGTGGAATTATATTGCACAACATTTTTACCAGCAACTTCACCATAAACAGGAACGGCTGTCTATCAGATGCACAATACGTACTGATGAGGAACAATTGCTCGTACGCAGTTTGACGTATGTGGCGTGAGGGATTTGTGAGGACTAAAGATATAATGAAACTTGACCAAGTATTGTCACGACATAGTGTTTCATAGGCACCGTAATGCAGAACTAGTGCAATACAAAGTACTTCGAGTGCTTCTTTACATACGGCGTAGTCTGTTTTCTCAGGTGTGGTAATATTCTGGCTGAAATCTATGATAGATCCAATTGATTGTAGATTATTTCCTGATGCAGCCCATGCAAGATTTACAATTGCTTTAATGGTCGGCATATCCGGTAAACTCCACTTAAGTGCTGATTTGAACAGATTACGACATCTATCGCCTTCCAGGCCCGCCGATAGCATTTGTTCTCCGATACTATGAGCCAATTTGATAGCCATGGATCGAATAGTTAGTTCAGAATTACCGGGAATTGCTTGAATAGCTTGCTCTAGAATTTCAACCTGGGATCGATCAGTGTCAGCGGTGAAATTTAGGGGGTTATTTCCAACTTTGCTGAGAACGCATCCAACTATGTACAGGAAGAATTTGACTAGCTTCAACACACAGTGAAAGGCGGCACGTTTTGTGTGCATGTCGGCAGTTGGCAGAAAGTTGTTCTTTGTTAGCATATCGAGAATAAAGTGTGCAGCACCACAGTGCAACCAAGAAGACTGTAGATGAAGAATAACATCGCTCCCGGAGTCTAGTGCGGGCAGTAGCATTGCATGTAGCACTTCTAGATTGTATAGGACCCGTGCCGGACTAGGATCGATGAAGAGTGATTCGGGAGTCGGTATGCCTGTGTTTTTTGCTAGAAGTAAGTTGTTGGTTAGGTCAGAATTGAAACTGCACAGGGCCTGAATGTTCGCAACTGTCAGTCCATCAAGTGGAAGCAGATGTAATAGGAAACCGCAGCTGTCACGTAATAGTCCATGCTGTAGATCACTACCCAATTGGTATATCTTGAGAAAAAAGTCCACGTAAAATGTTTTTTTCGAAATGATCACTCCGGGTAGCATTTCCTCCGATTCTGATCTTAACATGTCTGGACACGGTCGGGGTGGCGAACCAGAACTGCTATCGCTTGAACTATCAGGAGAGCTTGCAAGCCCGGAACCACTAGGCATGAGCTTTGCGGTGATAAGTGTTTTATCACGAATGCTGTAGTGCGACAATGGATTACGATCGTCGTTTATCTCAATCAGCTCTCCATTGCAGTTGAATAAATCTATTTTCAGATTATTTGTAGTAGCTTTGATCCGTTTCAGTAAGTTACGCTTGAAAGAATATATTGTTTCATTATTGTGGGTAATAACTTCCAAATCCTCTAGCTGGCGGCCAGGGTTTTGAAAACGAATGAACAAATGTATGTGCTTTCCGCGTGATGCTCTGTGCAGAGGTAGCAACAATCGTTCCCCTGTATAATTTCTATCACATTCTTTGATGTACTCCTGAAGGGCTCTGACAACTCGGCACATCTGCTCCGCCGTCTGCAGTCTTCTAGAAATAATATCGTCTTCCACTATTTTGGAGTTTTCCTCTATTAGATTAGTTAACATTTTTACAGTTTCGTAATAATTTTGGAGTCTATCACAGCATTCGCTGATAAAGTTTTCGTGGAATTCACAAACTTTGGCTTGCAGTCTCGGTCCAAGAGCTGTAGAAACTTCTTTCAACAATTCGATTGCCTTAAAGGCAATTTCTTCGTCAGCATCAGTTATCACACGCCAGAGATAGTCTTTTCCAATTAAATCCTCATTGTCCAGCACGTAGCCACGCTGTTTGCCTTTAAGCCGTTCCTCTTTGGAATTAACTGCTTTGAAAAAGCGTTCGAAGCACTTGATTCCACTTTCGGTTAGTAGTGCTGGGTCTAGTTTTAGCAGATTATTTTCAAAAAAGTCCTTGTTGATTCCTGGATCCAGATCTGGTTCATCGCCCATCAGCTTTCCGAACCAACGGAAGCATTCCTCGCGATCACTTGGGAATACTGCATTTACTGCCAAACATTGCCAAATTTGCTTTGCCTGTTCGGCACACAGCCACAGTTGACCATCTTTTAGAAGGAATTTTAAAAACTCTAGCCTTTCCTGGATTTGCTGCGGATGGGGATATCGTTTATCAAGGAGTAAATTAATTGGATTTAGCGATGGGTTCAGTTTGACTTGTGCCCTAACTTTGTCCATGTACATAGTCAAACTAGTCGTTACTAGGATTACGAGCGTGTGATCATTCTGAAGTCTGTCGATGACCTGTTGTCTCGTTAGCACTTGATGAACTCTCGGTGCATGACTGGAAGTCGTTTCATAGAGTGTACAAATCTCTCTAATCAGTCGCAACGCAGGCAATGCCCACTCATCGCCGGCTTTCAGTTCTTCGACACATTTGTCCACCCACATGGTTTTCTGTGCATCTCGTTCCTGGGAGCAACTGTAATCTAGAATTTTCACATGGGAAGCCAATGCTTGATCCAATACCTCAGGAGGAATGTCTGCACTATGAGCTAGTGTCCAGAATAATTTGAGCACTTTCTGTGCCATAACACCATTTTTATCGTCCTCGGCCAGACGACGATTGAGTTCCAGTAGTCGTTCCCTTTGCTTCTTATTCGCAGTTTTCATGCTGGCCTGGAAGCATTTAAACAAATGGTCCAACTGCTCCGCATTAAAATCCCATGCTAGCTTTGCTAGAAGATCGTGTACATTTTTTACAATGGCTTCATGCTTTCCAGCCTGTGCTCGCCACACTGCGTCCAGATCACTAAAGGTGAGAGATTTTTCCTTGATGAGAAAGCGAAGAATCTTTTCGAGCTTCTCAACGTACTGCGGTTGGTGAAGAGAATCGCGGAGTACTATTCCAATAACATCGTTTTCTCGGATCCATTTCTAGAACAAAAGAAAATTTTATTAATCAAAGGAGTTGAAGTATTTCAGTTTATTTTTTTTCTCAATAAGTCGTTAGGGTGCTTCCATAAGCTACGTAAACAATTGAGGGGAAATGAGATTAAGGAATGGATTCGGGTTGCCTATGTGTATCAATAAATTAACAAGTTCTGGCGATCAGTCTACATCGTGCTCCCTTGCGGATCTATTTGCTTTTTTGCTGAGGAAAGTGCTACATAAAGCAACAACAAATTTAAATAAAACTTCACAGTGCTAAATATTAGGGGAAAGTGGGCCACCTAAAGAAAATCATAATAAATCGTACAAAATTCAGTGGGAAATTTGAATGATGTTTAATAAAATGGATAGATTTAGACCCTATTTACATCATGAATACAAATTGAATATTAAAAGTAAACTTTTGAATCTTATGAAAGGAGATTTAAAAAATGTTCGTTTTGTAACCGAAATTAAACCGTTGGGGTAAAATAAAAACCCTGTTTGGGTGGTATGAGCGACCTTGTTAACAACGGGTAAGAATATTCTGCTCTTTTGAGGCTTTATGAAGGGTCAACAATGAACAGGTTTAGCAAAGAAAGATTTTAAGAAGCAATTATTTTCGGTAGAATATATTAAATTTAAGAAGTTCTACCTATTTATGGCTAAATTTTTCAGTCTTGTGAATGACTGATTGTGTACCAAAGCAGCTGCTTCAAAACGTGATTTAATATGATACAGTCATATTTATGAAAGGAATACTGCAAAATAAAAATTTAAGTTGAAATATTAGTGGTGCTCATATTGCCCCGAATGGACGTAAGTAATATTTTGTTAAAAAACTAGAAGGGTCTGTGCGGAGGGGCACGAACGGAAGCTTGACGTAGGACCGCTAGTGGACGGAATAAATGTGAAGAGCATTTAGTTCTTTTAATTGATCAATTATCTATTATCTCAACTCTTTCCGTTTTTGAATTGTAGGCGTACCAAATTTGTAGTAATCTTTTTCAAAGAGAAAGTTGATTAAGAGAATCAATCGAAATCACTTGCACCCCTGCTTCCAAGTTTGGTTACAAGATTACAACTCTGGAGAGCATTTTGTGTGGTCTTTGGGGGCTTGTGGTTCTGAATATGGACAAACAAGCACAGATAAATTCTATTCCATGTAAGCTTGATGGCCCTGAAAAGGGCCGTTTTATTGAAAAGGACATCCATGGCCACTTACGCTTGGCGTGTTTAGTGTAGGTGACAGCATCACGGACCTCATTTTCCAGGAACACCTTCAGCACACCTCGTAGATCAGACCGGAGATACGTTTGACACCACCACGGCGAGCCAGACGACCGATGGCGGTTATCTCGAAGAACTTTGCGATGACGCTTGGCGCCTTCTTTACCAGACATTTTCCTCCTTTGCCACGACCAGTCAATTGCTGCTTGTTAGGTGTGAAAGAGTGGACTAGCCACCACCTTCCTACTGCTGCTATTGCTCCGAGGCGAAAATGAGCTAATGCCATACAGCAGCGCTCTTTTATATCTTTTCAGGTTAAAGCAGAATGATGTGCAACCAAGTGGTATAAAAGCTACAAAGACTCCTCCCATTATGAGTAGTTTGCTATCAAGTAGCGACACTGGCTCTTTTCCTTTTGCGTACTCGGCGAATGAGAACGACCAAAATTTGAGTTTAGTTCACTCATAATCGCCAAAAGTGCAGGAACTCAGCGATGAGTAAATTGTCTCATGGTTTCCTGTAGAAAACCTAAAAAATCTGCAAGAAAATGAGGAAATTGACAAAAATTTTATTCAGTCTCGGAGTAGTACCAATAGACTGAGTGAATCCAATCTTTACTTTTCTCAAATTCGGGAATTTTTCCTGGAAAACCCTGGGAAAACATGAGGCAAATTTCTCATCGCTGAGTTCCTGCACTTTATTTCTTATTTCTGAGATAACTAAACTCAAATTTGGATCGTTCTCATTCGCCGTGATTTCACCTTGAAAGATATCGGCGCCGGTGATTAGCGTGATTACCTCTCACCCCACTCCAGCAGGCCTTTGTCCAATCTCAGTCGGCGCCACCGGCATGTTCTAAGGCATAACATCTCTGATCACGCCTTCCTTCGGGAAGTAAAGCCGTTGGTCCCCGGTTGAGTTGATGGGTCGATTGGTTGGGTCCAGGTGTGGGAGCTGCCTCCCTGGCGTTGGTAGCATTGGAGCTCAGTACGGAAAACAAATCTCGTGTCACTTTTCAATAGGTCCTATCTACATTGATCGATTCTCTTCATCGACATTCTCTTTCGTAAATAACTCGGTTTCACAAATGTTTCCTGCCGTCTTCGTCGAATTAGATGCTAGATTGTTGCTTCTTCCATCGAAAATATCCGGCCGTGGCGATTCAAAGTTGATCAAGGTTGATCAAAATAATTTGTACCCCTGCTTCCAGTTTGATTACATGAGCATTTTATGTGATCGTTGGTTCTGAATATGGACCAACAGGTAGATGAATTCTATTCCTACTCTTTACTGTAATAAGCTTGGTGGCCTTGAAAAGAGCCGGTTTGTTGCCAAAGTTGGCGATGATTTAACCTCCGAAACCAAACAGAGTGCGTCTCTGTCACTTCAAAACGTCATCCATGGCCGCTTACGCTTGCACACCTCGTAAATCAGACCGGATATACGTCAGACACCGCCACGGCGAGCCAGACGACGGATGGTAGTTATCTCGAAGAATTTGCGTTTGGTTCTGAATATGGCGATGAGTGTGCAAAATATTACGCAATTCCATCCTCCCTATTCGCACGCGCCCGAGGATCAGAGGCAAATGCCACTTCGACTTGTTTCGTCTACTTACTACTCTCTGACGACTGTGCTAGGGAAGCAGCATATGCATGTAGGTAATTGGTGGATTTGTTAGTTAATTCGACGCTTTTGGACAATGCAGGACATTTACCAGTTTTTCAATAGTTTCTTGTTGAAAATCAACATTCGGAAGCATTGTTATCGATGCGTAGCCATATTTCTGACCGATTGGCGATAACATTATTGAAAGTGGACCAGGGGCAGCTGAGTTATTAACGTTCAAAATCTTTCTTAATTTGTTACATGTTCCATTTTCGGCTTTCACAAAGTGTACCCCCATATAGAAATCAAAGACGTAGTCCTACGTCAAAATCTTTAATGTTTATTAAACAACTAGAAAAACATATCAAATAAAAGGAATAACAAATTGCATGATATCGAGTGAGAACTATCACGCCGTAGATTGAATGGTTGAATTATTACCCCTGATTGGTTTGGTTGTGGGAGAAGGCAATTGGATACTGACGCATTTTTGAAGTTTTTTTTATTGCTCATCGCATGCGAAGTTGTGGTGGTGTAGCATTTCAACGAGAGTTTCGTTTACGAATTATTTGTTTCGTTGGTCGATTTTGAGGATTTTTGGCTGAATTTCTTATTTATCAATATGGCATCAAGTTTGCGTGTGCAGTCTCGTCAAGAACGTTTTTGCATTCACACGATGAACAACCTTATTAGTCTGATAACCAATTACGATGAGGAAACATTATTTCTCGAGGATGCAGCGGCTAGAGAAAAACTTTGCCGATTTTCAATCCAATCGCTTGCAGATGGAACTACTTGAGGATCAGGAAGAAGATGCTGATGCAGCTGAAATAGCTGCACTTGATGAGGATGGGTACAGGAAAATTTGGGGTGATTTCGAACGAAATTACATGAAGGTGTATGGGTTTATCGCTTCTAAACGTAAACCAGAACCTACTGCGTCGTCGTCAAATGTCGTGGCACCCAGGGTTACAGTTGCTGACTCATCATTCGCTCGAATAAGGTTACCAAAAGTAAAACTTCTCACTTTCGATGGTACCCTAGCAAATTGGCTTACCTTTCGTGATGCTTTTGCCTGATCGATATTATCCCTCAACTGAAACCAATTGACAAATTTTCGTACCTTATTTCCTCTCTCTCTAAGGAAACGAAACGGGTGATTGAGTCGATTGAAATCACCTCAGCTAATTACTCAATAGCTTGGGGACTACTTGAGAAGAGGTTTGATAACAAGAAACTTGTTATGAAGACATATATTGAGTCTTTGCTTTCCATCGAACCGATGCGCAAGGAATGCTACGAATCCTTGGCGCGTATTATCAATGAATTCAAGCGCAACTTAAACATGTTCTAGAAGATGGATGTAAAGTCCGACGGGTGGAGTGTTCTTCTCGCGCATATGCTTTGCGCCCGCTTGTATTGCGGAACACTCAAGCAATGGGAACAGCATCACAAATCTACCGAAGTTCCAAGGTATGAGGATGTGATTGAGTTTTTGCGCGGACATTATTATATCCTGCATTCTTTATCGTCGTCGAAGCCCCGCACTGCAGACTTGCCCAAACCCAAACCAATTCGATCACAGAAACCGAAGTTTAGCCATACAGTAACTACTAACTCATCATCAAAATGGTGTCCATTATGTACACAGTCCTCACACTCGCCTTTCCACTGCGAGACTTGTCGCAAGCTTCCCGTTTCCCAACGATTCGAAATAGTGAAGAAAAATTCGCTTTACATAAATTGCTTCTCGCCATCACACCTCGTAAAAAAATGCCTGTCCAGTTGCTGTCGAGTATGTGGACAAAAACATCATACCATGTTGCACCAAAATACCACACTTCGTTCGTCGGATGCCATTCTGAATCCCAAACCACCAAACCCATATACCAGCTATGTGTCGACCACCTCGGTAGTGTTCGAACCGTTCCTCTGGCTGTTTTGCTGCAAACTGCGATGGTGAAGATCTCTGATATCAACGGGTATGCCGTGTGGGCTCGAGCTCAGTCCACTCGAAGTATTACAGGTGCTCCACCTCAGTCCGCCTCATCCCACTCTTTTCAACCACCAAATGTTGTAATTCCGCCTACTTGTACCCCATATACCAGCTATGTGTCGACCACCCTTCTCGGTAGTGTTCGAACCGTTCCTCTGGCTGTTTTGCTGCA